TTGGGCACCAAAAAGAACTGTCACTGCCGATGGGAAACTTAACATGAGCCGGCAGTGTGCATTAGCAGCCCAGAAAACCAACCATATCCTGGGTTACATCAAAAGGAGCGTTACCAGCAGGTCGAAAGAGGTGATCCTGCCCCTCTACTCTGCTCTCGTGAGATCCCGCTTGGAGTATTGTGAGTAATTCTGGTGTCCTCAACATAAAAAGGACATGGAACTGTTGGAACAAGTCCAGAGGAGGGCCACGAGGATGATCAGGGGACTGGAACAGCTCCCATATGAAGACAGGCTGAGAAAGTTTGGGCTGTTCAGCCTGGAGAAGAGAAGGCTGCCTGGAGACAAAATAACAGCCTTCCAGTATCTGAAGGGGGGCTATAGGGATACTGGGGATGGATTATAGGGACATTAGGGACTGTAGTGATAGGACAAGGGGTAACAGGTTAAAACTTAAACAGGGGAAGTTTAGATTGGATATTAAGAAGAAGTTCTTTACTGTGAGGGTGGTGAGGCACTGGAATAGGTTGCCCAGGGAAGTTGTGAATGCTCCATCCCTGGCAGTGTTCAAGGCCAGGCTGGACGAAGCCTTGGGTGAGATGGTTTAGTGTGAGGTGCCCCTGCCCACAGCAAAGGCGTTGGAACCAGATGATCTTAAGGTCCTTTACAACCCTAACTATTCCATGATTCTATGATTCGATGTCATGGTTTAAGTCCAGTCAGCAACTCAGAACCATGCAGCTCTTCCCCTTTCCCCCCCACCATCTTCTGGAGGAATGAGGAGAAGCACAGAAAGAATGTACTTGTTCCAGAGTTCGAGGATTCTGGGTTGAGAGAAACGAAACACAATAGAGAAATCACTAGTTTATTAATAGAAGAAAATATAGAGATAATAAAAGATGCAGTAAAGGATATTTCTGATGTCTGGTTATCTTACCAAACCCAAAGACCATGTGATGATGATCAGGAAACCAGCTCCCAGAAACATCATTACAGTGCTCAACCTTAGTGGGCAACCCTGCAGAGGCAACATTGACCTAGGTGGAATGAGGTTCTGCTTCCCTGCATTGCATGAGGCTGGGGCTTTTATACTAGTGAAAATTCACTCTCATTCTGATGTACGGGGCCAGCCTACACTGGAAGGAGTAGTCAGCTATACAAAAAGAGTCTCTGGGGGCTGGGGCCTTTTTTCAGGGATTTCCAAAGCGGGACTTTCTGGGGAGGAGCTACCATGGACCATTACCTCATGTGTCAGGCTCATCTAACACATGCCACACCTTGGTCTGTGCATGGATCTATATGAACTTCCAACAGAAAAACAAGTTGGGTTATCATTTGTTGAATACAAGAGAGTAACAAATGTATACAACATACAATACAACAAAATATTAGTAATAATAAAAGTCCAAAAAGGAATAATTTTTGGAGCCAAAGCCATCCCCATTGGAGAGTACTGAAGGGATTCCAGCGATGATCTACTTGCAGTTGCTTAGACAAAGCTTGCAAATCTGCTAAATGAGTGTGAATTGATTTAGAATGATCAGACAAATTCATACAGTACATGCTGTCAAAATCTTAACAGCCATGTCCCTGAGCTAATCAGAGAAAGTCAATAGCCTCTCTACTCTGAAGAATGACATGTTGAATTGAGTCAACATCTGTTTTAAAATCTTTGCACAAAATAAATTAAGAAAGGTGAGAATAAAGAATTTTTTTTTCAGATCAAAAAGTGGATTTGATTTAAACTTTAATTAAAAAAAAAATATAAGGAAGCCAATGTGGTCACTCCATCATAAGCCACTAGATTAGTCAGGAGATACAAGTATATATATAAATGAATATACATAAAATATATAATGTTCAAAAGTTCAATTCCTTTTCTCTCTAAGTTGTTCTTAAACCCCACACTTATTTTTTCTACCATAAAAACTTGACATCTCAATTGAATGTCCATGTGTACTTGAAATGTGACTTTTCTTCGGGAAAAACAGATTTAAATATAAACGTTGTTCCTGCAATTTCTTTCATATTCAATGGAGAGAAACAGGCAGCCTCGCAGCACAAGTTCTGTGTCCAAATGTAGACACCTTTCTCAGAATAAGATTATCTCACTGCAAAGAAATTTATTTGTCAAAATGCTTTGTTCAGACCGAGAAATAAGAACTTTGACTGTTACAGCCGAATCTTTTCATTAAGTCATTATTTTGTCTCACGTGAGTGACAGTGTATGCTAGACTTCACAAATAGATGTTCTCCCAAAGCAAGCTAGTTCTGAAGTTCATGGGGAATGAAAGGTAAACACAACAGTCTTGCTCTCTACTAGTCCATGCACTTGTCAGGATGGCTAGAGGAAAAGTAAGAAGCCTCCCTCCCCCCCAACTCCTTCTTATGGTTTTCCATCCAGTTTTAAATACTGATCATAACTCTTGTGGAAAGGATGAATGACTAGGTTAATAAAGATGGTATCGGTTATGTGGCAAAAGATATAGAAAAATATGAGCAGATAACAAATTCTGAGAAATACCACTTTTTTGCTGTCTTTTTACAAATGAATGGTTTCATAATTATTTAAGTGTCCTGGTTTCACTTACTGTTGTGGAATAGAAGCCAATCTTCTCTTTTACATAAACACGGAGAAAAATGCATGCAGATGGTAAAGGTAAAAAGAAGAAAATACTTTTCATTTCAAAAATCCATCAGCAACACAAAAGGCTACAAACACATACTGTACTCAGTGTTTTGAAGAGGTGCAAGAGTTCTTTACCTTACACAGAATCATATAAATATGCGTGCCAATTAAGAGTCAACAACACAAAACCCTTAGGTTTTCTGGCTAACGAGGCGTATCTTCTGTACTAGTAAACATAATGAGTGAGCTCAACCTGGTTGCCTATAGTGTTTGATTATTGTTTCACTTCCTCACTCTGTTTTGGACAACACTGCCTGTCTCTCTTCAGGATAAACAGATGAGGTATTTAGGAGGCCTTGTGTAGCAATTATCTCATCAAGACAGCTGGTCTTGAGGCATGGATAAGACCTTGGACTCACATTTCAGTAATCCATAGTCCAGGAGACACTGCTACCACTTTTGATTTGCCTTATGAATGAGAAGCCTTGAAATGTTACACGCTAACTGAACAGCTTGATCTTCAAACTATGGTCTTTGTAGAGACTTTATAGAGACTCTGATGCCCGTCCACTTAAATTATTAACTGGATATGAAATTGAACTACAATATGATTCTTTAGCTAAGTGGTTAGGGTAGATTCAATCTTCCACATCCCTTCTGAAAGTGGTTGTCCAATAACGGTTGGCTTTTTGGAGTCAGTCTGTCCCTGTCTCTCACCAGATAAATTCATTTTATTAAAAAAACAATTTCCAATATCTTTTTATATAAAATATCTATTCCTATAAATATTTTCTGACTTGGTACATCAGTGTGATATAATGAAAGAAACAGTCATTGAAAAATTCCTAAGACAATCTAATGTTTAAAGAAAGGTCTGACTGGCCACTGTATTCTTGAAATTCCTTATTTATTTCTAAAAGATCAGACTTAGTACCATATATTCACTTTTTTTTTCATAGGATCATACAATGGGTAGGGTTGGAAAGGACCTTAAGATCATCAAGTTCCAACACCCCTACCATGGGCAGGGATACCTCACACTAGATCATGTCGCCCAAAGCTCTGTCCAACTTGGCCTTGAACACCACCAGGGATGGAGCATTCACAGGTGACAAAAAATAATCTCCTTTCCATAAGCAGAAGTGCCCTACACTCTTTAAATTACTCTCTTCCTAATCAAGTCTGTGGTATGGCAAAATGGCCAGGAGATTTGGGGCTCTGGTAGTGAATGTAAAGAAGGATGGAATTAAAGCAAGTAGTATATCCTAACATTTGTTTTAAAAAGACATTTTAATAGACTAATAAACATAGTTATAAACAGAGAAGCAAGTGTATTAACAAATGTAGTAACAAGCAGAGTAACAACGGTAGTAACAAAGTCCAGAGGCCAGCTTCTCACTTGGGGAGATGCTCCCGCAGGTGCCCATCAGCACCAAGAGAGCCGGGAGCTGCAGGGCTCTGTGTCAGCAGGGCTCACTTTCAAGAGGACAGCCAGCAGCAGCACGGACTGGTTTTCCAGCTGCACAGGCACGCCACTGAGGTAGGTGCCGGGAACAGCCACTCTCTGGAGGAGCCGGTGGGATGGGATGAGATGATGGGATGGGGAACCCCTGTCCAGGTTGGCTTACGTGGATGGGCTGTGGCAGCATGCCATCCTGGCTGCATAGATCTTCCAGGGGCCGGCCAAAGAGACCTGTGCCCGCACAGCCCGATAGTCCCTGTGTCCTTACTGCAGCTGAGGTCCCTGGCCGTGCCAATGGCCAGGACAGCCTCCTCCTGCTCCTGCGGGTCCCGCCTGCTGTCAAGGGAAACACAGCAGAGAGCTGTGGAGGAGAAGCACCAGGAGAGTACTCCCAGGCTCCCTCAGTGCTGTCTCCCCATCACTGAGTGCATGGGAGAGGAGTTTTCATTTCGGACCTAGTGGCCCTGGGGCTCAGCTCTCTCCTGCTGCATAGTGATGGGGATGGACGTGCCAGGCTGCAAGAGCAGGAGAGAAGGGCCATCCTGCCTCTGTCTTCTCCACACTCACCATCCACGTGGCCACGTAAACCCTCACTACTGGAGAGGACAGGAACTGGCAGCTGCCTGGCACCAGCCTGCAAGAAATGGGCTGCACTCACCAAGGAGCCACACAGCAGAAAGGGTCCCTGGAGAGCTGCATCAGCCTCTGGCTGTGTGTGAGAGGTTGGGATGGGTGAGATTGCACTGCAAGTGACCCTGACCTGGGCTTGGTGCTGGAGCAGCTTCTCCAGGCTTCTGGCATCCAGTGTCGTCCCCTGAGCAAGGGGAAAAGAGCAGAAGGTGAGGAGCAATGCAGCTGATGCTGGGCTGGGGCAGCCCCTGGGGGCAGAACAGAGGCAGGAGGGACACTCACAGCATGGCGGCCACTCAGCTCCTTCAGCAGCAGCCTGCTGGATGGCATCTGGGTCACCCAGGCTCCCTGAACTCCTTCCAGTCGTCTGTGCACGGGGAAGAGGCAGAGAAAGAGTTGTGTGAGACCCAAGCCAGCTCTTCCCTCTGCTGCCAGCCTGGGGAGCGCTTCCACACTATCCAGAACAGCCGTGACAGCCTGGCAGTGGAGCAGGAGCAGCAGCGGTGCCGAGGATGGGGCTGGGCAGGTGTTGGCTGGACACAGCTGGACGAAGCAGCTCTGCCAGCTGTGCCTGCTCAGCAGTGGTGACACCTCTGCCTGCAGCTCTGGGGGCACCTCTGCCTGCAGCTGTGGGGGCACCTGTGCCTGCAGCTGTGGGGGCACCTGTGTCCAGCTCAGCAGAGGTGTTTTCTCTTTGTTTGGATGCCACTCATGGAGTATCCTTCCATGATGGGAGCATGGGCAGGCCAGGCTGCAGTGCCAGGCTGGGCTTACCCAAGGAGGGCGCTGACCCAGAGTTCCTTCACTGCTCGGGAGCTGCCAAAAGAGAGGAGAACCAGTCTGAGGACCTGATGTGCCCCATCAGATGATGCCTCATGGGGCAGGGCAGAGCAGCTGGCCACCCCTCTGGTGGGATGTTGTATTGGGACTCTCCAGAAGGTGATGACACAGTAGCTGCAGGGCCAGAGGAAGACAAGGGAGCTGGTGGCCTTCCCTTCCTCCTCCTCAGCAGCATCACCAGCTGAGCCCTTCCCACTGCTCAGCACCTAGAGCAGGCCCAGGGCCAGCCAGAGCAGCAGGTGTGGGGTGATGCCACATCTACAGAGAGGAACAGCAGGGAGTGAGCTGGAGGTGGCAGAGCCTGCTGGCTCCCCTCTAGTGCCCGCCTGCCATGGGCATGGCCACGTGTGCATCCAGCACTAGGGTGCCGGGTCCTTGGGGCTGCTCGTTGGCTGTCCCTGCTCTGGTGCGTTGGTGCGAGGGGCAGGGCTTGGGAGGAAAGGCAGCTGGGCTCTGGCTGTCTTACCTGGTCTTGGCAATGACCAAGGTGTCTCTGAAGAGGAGGAGGTCCCTCTTCTTCTTCTGGCCAAGGCCCTGGATCACCCTCACGCATGCCCAGGGCAGTGGCTCGGGCAACACCAGGTCGGGCTTGCACTGCTGGTTGGGGCCAGGGTCATCCCTGCAGGGTAGGCAACGTCGGACATGAGCAAGGCAGCTGCTGTGCGGCCCGTTTCTGCTGTTGCATCCCTGAGCTTTGGGGAAATCCACCTGGACCCGCAGCAGCAGAGCCACTGCCCCATCCTGAGCAGGCTGCGAGAAGATGTGCATGTAATAAACTTGTGGGAAAACAGTGAAGATGGGAGCGCTTCTCCACAAGAGAGAAGCACCCCCAGTGCCACTGGTGCTGCCAGTGGCAGGCACTGGAGTTGTTGCTGGGCCAGCACCGGGTTTGTACAGAACACCATGGTGACCTCGGTTCTGGAACCTGGGGGCCCAGATGGGACGGAGCCCTGTGGGGTTCTCCTCAGGATGCCCATTTCCAGCCCCAGCCTGAGATTGCTCCCTTACAACTGCAGTGTCCACCAATCGAAAGTCACAGCTCCTGCATCCATGGTCTTCTGGCTCACAGGCCCAGGGAGCCCCAGGTCTACCATGCACACTGAGGTGATGCTAAAGCATTAAATGCCTTTGTCTTTTCTTCATCCCCACTTTTCAGTGGCCATCTTCATAAAGTCAAGGTCCAATACTTTCCTTAGGCCTCCACTTGTTATTAGCATACTTCAAAAAGCCTTTTGTTGCTGTCTGACAGAACACTGACCAGTTTCATCTCTAGTTGAGCTTTGGGCTTTTGTGATGTCTCCCTCCATGTGTGAGCCACAGCTCGGCAGTCTTCCTGAGAAGCTCCACCTTGCTTCTAGAAAGCACACAATTTCTGTTCCCGCCCCAGTTCAAAGAGGAGTTCCAAGCTGCTCTTCTGCTGCACCTGCTTGACTTCCATGGGATTGCTGCTCCTGTGCTTTCAAAAGCTGGTTCTTTAAAAGTGAGCAGCTCTCATGGTCCCCTAAATCCTCAAAAGCTCATGCCCAGGAGACGCTGCCAAGTAGGTCCCTCTGCAGCTTCAGTTTTGCTCTCTTGACACCCAGGGTAGCAACTCTGCTGAACTTTTCCCTCCTGACACCCAAAAGTTTGAGCTCAAGGTCTTTGAGATTAGGGTGGCCAAGACAGCCTCCTACCACCACACCTCGCATACATCCCTCTTGATTCACAAAGAGCAAGTCTAGAAGGGCAGCCCAACTCTAGTTGGCTCACTGAGTACTTGTGGAAAGTAGCTGCCTTCCACAAACATCAGGAATTCCACAGCCTCACTTGTCCCAGCAGTGACAGTATGGTATTGCCAGCTGAGGTGTTGGAAATGGCAATCTCCCAGAGGGACAAGAGCTACCTATCCAGAGATTTGTCCTAATTGCCCATAGAATCCTGTCTCTGTGGGTCATAATTTAAGCCCAACCGACAACTCAGGGCAACACAGCTGCTCGCTTGCTCCCTCCGTTCTTACCTCCCAACTCCCTCTCCTTCTCAAAGAGTCACAGAATCATAGAATAGTTAGGGTTGGAAAGGACCTTAAGATCATACAGTTCCACCCCCCCTGCCATGGGCAAGGACACCTCACACTAAACCACATCATCCAAGGCTCTGTCCAATCTGGCCTTGAACACTGCCAGGGATGGAGCATTCACAACTTCCCTGGGCAACCCATTCCAGTTCCTCACCACACTTATGGTAAAGAACTTCTTCGTTGTATCCAATATGAACTTCTCCTCTTTGGTTAATTTGGGTCAGGTGTCCTGTCTCTGCTTCCTCACAGCTTCCCCTTCTCCCTGGCAGAACATCAGACTCAGAAAGTCCTTGGTCAGAGTAAACATTAAGGAGCAGCAACTAAAAACATCAGTGTTAGCAGCACAGTTTCCAATCTGAAAGTCAAAAACAGAGCACTGCACCAGCTACTGAGAAGGAGAAAAATGACTGCTGCTGCTTAACCTGGGACACAGACACAAGAGGAAAGAGAAGGGGAAAAAAAAATCTTTGGTTTCTTACTAAACAGTTGTTGCTAGCTCCGAGTTTACACACAGAAACACCTGTAATCTAACACATAGAGGCTCCTGTAATGGGACATTCAGTCTGGTTTTTGTTAATATCTGGATTTCCACAGGAAATTTCACATGGGTACAATTAACCTTTCTTCTTTTGGTAGTACAAAACATTGCAAAATCTGAGATCAGGCATTTTGGGAAAGGAAATTTAAGAACTTAACTTTTTTTCATATGCTAACTAAACACAGTGTCTAACAGACATTGTAATGTAATAACATCAAGGTAGCCAAGTACAATTGCTGTGAAAATTGAAAAGGCTGTTCTTTCTATGCTCCATGCTTAAGTGCTTTCAGTGCTATGCCTTGCCTCTCCAGGTATTCCTTTTACAGTTGATGTACAGTAGTTTTCAGTTTCAGAAATGATTGCTAATGTTTCTAATTCTAATGTTTTGCAGATAATGCTATAAAAGTCAGTGTATCTGTAACTCAGAAAAAAGCCCCACAATTTTGTCTGCGTGTAGAGTCACTATATCCTAAATTTAATCACAGGCAGATGTGTGAAAGTAAGTGAAAAAAATAAACCTTTCGAGGAAATCTTGTCCCACATTATTCCAATAAAGCTCTTATTGCAACCTTGAGATAGCATAACTTGGTTACTGTTTCTAAACTATGTAAAGCAGAATAAAAGTCTACTTAAAAAAATGTCATGTATATAGTCATGCAAACATTTCCAAGAGGAAAAATCTATTATTATATTGATCACAGCCATGTTTTCTCATCAAATGTGTACACAATGAACATACAACACTCATGTAGAAAAAAGTAGGTGTACATGTACCTATTTTAGTACACTTTTCTCTGAAGTATTAGCTCAATGACCTACTAGTACATTCCTCTGAATTACTACTTTAAAAGACTGGATAAGCTCCTGGGGTTATAGTATTTACCCAGGCCTGTAACAACTGAATTCCTTGGGGCAAACAATTACTTCAAACTACTGTATTATTTTTGTCAGCTCTTATTTATCAAAAATAACTAAATTCACAGAAACATAGAATGGTTTGTGTTGGAAAGGACCTTGAAGATCATCTAGTTCCCATATAGTTCCAACCCCCTGCCATGGGCAGAGGCACCTTCCATTAGACCAGGTTGCTCAAATGCCTGTCCAGCCTGTCCTTGAACACTGCCAGGAGTGAGGCATCCACAACTTCTTTAGGCAAACTGTTCCAGCATCTCACTGCCCATACAGTAAAGAATTTTCTTCCCAATACTTAATCTAAATCTGTGTTCTTCAAGTTTAAAACCATTCCCCTCTGTCCTATCACAACAGGCCCTTGTAGAAAGTCCCTCTCCAGCTCCCTAATAAGCCCCCTGTAGGTACTGGAAGGCTGCTATTAGGTCTTCCTGGTGCCTTTTCTTCTCCAGGATGCACAGTCCAAGCTCTCTCAGCTTGTCTTCATAGGAGATGTGCTCTTTTCACTTTCACAATAAGAATTCTTTTTCTTTTTGTAGATGGGCTAAGAAAATCCATTTATAATGGTTTTTTGTTACAACTTTTGGATATGGCCTGTAAAGTTTTTTTGATGTCTTTCACTCTAGTAGCAGTCTGACTGTATCACTGAAATAACATCATCAACAACAATAATAACAAAAAACCTAATAATAATAGTGACATCAACAATATGTTGATAGTAGAACCCAGAACAAATCAAAAGAAAAAAAAAAAACCAAAACAAGTAAGTGAGGCTATTGTCTATGGCTGAGAAACATTAGCTGGGAAGAAAAATAGATCATTGGAAGACCAGACGTCAACAAAAGCCAAGAATTAATGTAACAATTTTTACATGCTGATTTCTTTATACTCAATTAATATAGAAGCTTGGGGGGTTATTTTATATGATGAGACTAACAAAACACAGAACTGAAATTTCTTTTTGTGTATGAAAAAATAGTGTAGTATCTCCTTAAAGCTGAGCAAAGAATATGCCCAATGATAAACAAAGTGAAAGATTCAGTGACAGTAGGCCTAGATAAGGCTGGGGTATTCAACGACTTCTTTGCCTCAGTCATCAAGGTCTTGCAGGCTTTTATGTTTGATTGAATTCTCTTACAATAGCTAGCAGCTGATGAGGCTGAAGTCAGGTACTACCTGAGGAACCCTCACCCGTGCAAAACAACAGGACCCAAAGGGCTACATCCATGGCTGCTGAGAGAACTGGCATTAGCTCTGGGGCTTAATCTTAAAGGTTGCATCAAGGAAATGTTTTGCCTGTTTTAAATTCCTTTCCGTGCCCTATAGATACTATGAACCTGACTTTTTTTTTATATGGAAGTGGAAATGAAATAAGATTAATTCATGATTTCTCATCAGGTAGTAGAGAGAATTCTGTGGAGTGCCATGTTTTAATAAAATATTAAGCATAGCTTATAAATTCCTGGCA